AGTAAATATATAGTAAATAAGAGTAAATAAGTTATAATTTGTACCAGAAATTACTGGTTATTATTTAGTTAATAATTAACTTTTTTACCAGTGATTGTCTTTGGAACTTCAGTCCGGAGATAGCGATGTATTTTCCGGAGAGTTAGATGATTCATAGGACGAAACCGAAGAGATTTCGGGAAACGAGCAAATTTCAATTTGTCCCATAATTTATGAGAACAGCTGTAATAAAAAGTAATTACGGCATTTAGGCAGCCGAAATTTAGTCTTATATAGTGCCGAAATTAATTTCATATTTGCCGAACTCTTTTTCATCAAACCACATTATATAATATAGTTATTTCGAAGGGTTTCATATAAAAAATTTTGCAATGCTGAAATATTTGCCGAAAATACAATTTTTCAAAAAATAATTTAGGCACCCATGTATAGTTGTTATAGATCGGTTGAAATAACCTTGTCAAAAAGCCATTGAATAACGCAAATAATAAATTAAAACATACTAACACAAAATAAATATGTAAGATCGCAAAGTAAGCACCAAGCGATTTCTCACTAAAACTAATATGTATAATATAATATTGAATACTCATTTCTAACAACCTTTAAACAATTCAAGTGCCTATTATACAATAAAATTTTTTGTAATTTTTATAAATTTTTATTTTTTTATACACATAATCTTCAATGATTTTCAACAACATTTATTTGTATATTCGTCTTTTATTTTTTATCACCCTTACAGTTTCGTCAGTTTCGTCACCTTTCATTTCGTCATTTAAAATTTTAATTGACGAAGGTTTCGCGTTTCGTCAGCGCGAAACCTCGAGGTTTCGTCTAACAACTATAACCTGAATTAATATAATACCCAGGCTGATCCTAAAAATTATATAATACTAAATACAGAAGCCTTTATACTATCATATATAAAAAAATAAATAATATAGTCAAGTAAAAATTTTTGTACAATTCGTGGAATCTATACGTAGAATCACGTATAATCAATTTTTTTCATATACGTTACACAAAAATTTTGTATATGGGTTCATATGAAAAATGATCTACGTTCACCCTACCCTTAAAAAATTTAGATAATTTTTTTTTTTCTTACCTTGAAAACATTCTTATTGCATACTAAATATAGATTAACTTGTCAAGCTCGGCATTAAGCAAATGGGATTCTTAGAAAAAAACAAGCCGTTAAAATCTTCAAAAACTCCAATACCTATTAATCCATCTTGGTGCGATATCTTGGAAACATACATTGCCACTTATTCATCACAAGAGTTGCACGAGAGCATTCAAAATATTTCATTGTTTCTTAAAAGTGCTGATGCAACTTGGGAACAACAATGCCAATATCTAAGAGCCATCGGTGAATTTTTTGAATCATGATAACCAATTTTTTTTTTTCTTTTGATGCTTATTAAAAAGTTTAATTATTTTATACAGAAAAATCTTTACCATCCAAGAAATCTATTCGCAATCCAACTTTAAATAAAATAAACCTTTCATCTAATTTTACTTTTCAAATCGAATCAATTCTTGAACCAATAATTGTAAGGATATATTTTACTTCGATAGAACCTTTAGCAAAGCAACGTTGTGTCCCAATATTTGATTCTTGCTATTTTTTGTCGACAAAATTACCAAGTAACCATAATGTAGAATCAATAAAGTCTTTTAATTTTGATTCGGATAATAATATGGTTATGGAATTCTCAAAAGAATATCCCAAGTACATAACTCACGATAATTATACAACACAAACATTGTGTCAAAAGGGTATTGCTATCTATTTGATGTTAGATTTTCATCTGGGGCTGTCAATTGTAAAAAAAAATCTGTTCGAAACTATTTATTTCTTGATAGATTGTTTAATGATTATAATGAAGCGAGTGAAAAATGAATTGGAAGGAAGTAACGTGTTAGAAATGTGTCAAAAAGAATCAAACTCAATCAATGATATTGCAATATTTTCTAATTCACTCATATTCACTCAACATATGAATGATGCTCAACACGTAATAAAAACATTATTAGCTTTGCTGTCGAGGTTTGAGAAGATTCTAAGGCCAAAGTTTGGGTTGATTAAAGAAAATTGTAATGATAATTCTGTAGAGTTATCAAAAGTTAGAGACCTACTTAATGGATGCATTACTATATGTTCTGACGAAATATATATTAAAGATGTAAGGCAATTGACTGGAATGACGTTGGCTGCAATCTTAAACCTATTAGGTCCATTTCAATATGTAAACGATTTAGTTTTACTATTGTTCTTCGTATGGCCAATCACTCGAGAACAAGAGTCATTAATCTTGTCATTGTTAAGAATTCAAACTTCAACTGCACAGATAGTGGAGCATGGGTGGCAAGGCGAATATCCGACGATGTTAGTCATATGCCGAGGATTATTATCTAATCTATCACGAGCTTGTCTTATACATCATATCTCAAATTTCGAATCAAAAATTCCTATATTAAGGTTTGTTTTAAATAACTTCCAGCAAACTATTACAAATAAATTATTTATTATTTTTCGTAATATAATTATAGTAATTGCAAACCATCATCACTCCATCATATATTATTCTTGAGTATTACTTATTTTTGTGATAATGCGATTACTTCTCAAACAAAAATTTCTGCATTTGAAACAATGGGATTGTGGCTTCAAGAAACCGAAGTTGTCTTGAGAGATTCTAACATCGAAAATAAAGAAGCTTTAGAAATTCAAGCTATATTTGATTCTCAGAATTTAGATAAATTAATGTCTTACGTTTGGAATAATTGTGATGACCCTCTTGATGCTATACAATACAAGGTGTTTAAATTATTTGTAATTTAATTTTTATTTAATTTAAATTGTTAATACTCTTCTTATTAATAGGTGAAGACAATCTTTGAAAAATTATTAGATATTTTAAATATCAAGAGAAAATATGAAAGCACAGACGAGTTTTATAATCAGTCCTTTAATAATTTGTTAAGACAATTATTAGCGATGGATCCATATCGTAAAGTGAAATATGTATTGTTACTTTTACTATTACCTAGAGTGGGAACAAATGCATTTCTTAAGATTCAAGCTGACTTTGTGTGGCAGACTTTAGAGGTATTACACAATACGACAATTGCGCCACGGTCTTCCCAATTGCTTGCGATTTTTTTTGAGCAGTCCTTAAAAGAGTCACTAGGTACATCTATTGAACAAATTGACTCTAACAATGAAAAGAAAAAAAGTTCTGATACACAGAAAGAGGTTTGAATTACAATTATATATTTCGGTCATAAACGTTACCTATTTAATTAATGCACATTGCCTTTATAATTATAGGCTGTAACTAATGATTGGATTAACATATGGTTAGCGCCTGTATGTCAGTGCCTTACATCACCTAATGATACTCTGCGTAAGAATATTGGTAATTTTATTTTAAAGCCTTTATTCAAAATTGATTCGTTATCATTCTGGAAAGTCTTGAATATAATTAAATATGAGAGATTATCAAATGGTTTTGTGAAAGATGAACATTATCGATTAAATGCGTTAATAACAATCACTAAAGTTGCCAGATCGTTGGATTTAGTTGATGGTAAAATGCTGATCGAAGGTATTTAATTACATATTAAATTAATTAAGTTTTTTAATAGAAGGTTTTTAATTTAATTAAACTAATAAATCATTTTACTTATGTTAGATAAATCTGATTCACTTGATGATAAAAAGATCAAACTACAATCTCTTCGTAATGCGATATATCATATAGATCCAAATCTTCGAATTGACCTTCTTGGTTTAATTAGCGAATCTCAAAAATCAATAACGGAAGTGACATCAACTGAACTTTCACTTTTAAAATCATTTTTCGAATTAAATCTAAATTCAACTTCTCCTGAATTTAGACAGAAGATGTGTGGGCATTTAAATAAATTATTTTCTAGACTTCAAGGGAATTTGTATGCTCAATGGAGAGATTATAAATCTCTTTTGAAATATATAGAAAATAGCGGCTCCACCATCGAGAATACCAAAGTCTCACAAGCACTATTGGAAGCAGAGCAATTAAAACGAAAGATCGATATTTCGCAAAATTTTTTAAATTGGTTAATTGAATTATTGGTTGCTTCATTGTATCCTGGTGCATCGTTTCAAAGAGTATCATCTGCCCTTAAAATTTTTATCATATTAATCAAAACATTTGGTCTTGGTAATGAATCTTCACTTACAAAAGAATTTGTAAATAAAAAAAATGAATCAACAACTTTTCCTTTTCAGCTTCCGTTTGCCACAGCCAGAAATGTAAAATTAATTTTAAATTGTCTAATGAATCCGTTTGATGAAAACCGAATGCTATCATATGAAATACTCGAAATGTTTCCTTCTCCGTTACCAGGAATTGAATCAATTGATGATGTACAGGAAATTTTATTTTGGGCATTTCAGTCAATGACGAATACGAGAGCTGGTGAAAGCGATAGTGGTGCTACAATATTTAGTCTAATATTTTCAAAATACGTGTTGAATCTTGAATATGATTTGGACGTAGAATTGGATAAAGGCCCTCCTGTTTCCTCTTTGGGCTTGGAAGTTAATGATAAATCAAGTAAATAATGTAAATAATTCTGTCTTTTCGTGTTATTTATACGAATTATATCTGATTGAATCTATTTATTAAACAATAATACTTTAGCTGCATTTATTGGGAAATTAATTGTGCTTTTAGAAAAGCAAATTAAAATTGCATCTCAAAACTTACTACTTGCATCTCAAAAATATCCAATGCACGGAACTTTACTCGCACTTCAATATATATTTAAAAAATTGGATTACAATTCCACAATCATAAAGTCGAATTTGACAGAATGGCACTTTGTTCATGACAAAATTATCTCGCTGATTAATCAAGCATGTCAAATAGTACTTGAAGTGTTGTCAAATCCATCACCTGAAGGAAATGTACCGGCATCGTTTCAAGAGATGGAGGAGGCTATTGATGAATTGGTTTATTCAAGCGACAATGGAGTTGTGGAAAGTGACGAAGGTCCTAAACATCAAGTCATATTAAGTTGTTGCTGGAGAGCTGTGAAAGAAGCAAGGTAATGGCAAGTGACTTATATATTATTATTATTTTAATTAAGATCCTATTTTAATCATTAATTATATAGCGCTCTCTTAGCCGTAATATTGTCGAGAGCGCCAATGGCTATAACTTTAATAGATAATGTAAATATGCACATATATATTTTTGCGTACCATATTTTCGCGAAATAACGGGCATGGGCGTTATTTAGAAAACCGTGTCCCCTAAAAATTGTCAAAATAACGTCTATGCGCGTCCCGAAATGACGCGCACCCTACGTTAGATATAGTAGATAGGATTAGGAAATTTTTATCCTTATTTCAAAATAACGCGCATATACATTTTCAAAACATCACAGGTGGGCGTATTTCGCAAAAATACGGTAATAACGCCCACCTGCACGTTATTTGAGTATGAGAGCTTGTCAATAGAAAAGGAAGAGATTTTTTCTAAGTAAAAAAATGTTTAAACTTTAAATTAAAATATCTCAACAACTTCTAAACAAATTTTTTTATTTAATTTTAAAAAAAAATTATTAAATTTGATTTAGTAGTTATTTTGTGCCTTTCTTTTGACGAGCTCCCATATGCATTATTTCGAGTACGCGTCTGACATATGAAGATTTTCATGTAATTGACTAATTTACATTGACCTAAACGTACACCTTATTTCGGGAAGCGCATGGGCATCATTTCAAAGCTATTCATCTTATTTTTGGGCGATACGACTTTTGAAATAACGCTCACGGGCGTTATCACGCGAAAATTTGTATTTTCGTTTATAAAATTATACTCTTATTGCTAATTTGCAGAAAGCAATGCTTAATTATGAGCAAGTTCGAAATGGAGGTGCATTATTTCGAACGTTGTTGACATCTATACGCCATAGAGGAGCATTTTCTGCAGTGTACCCTGGATATGTATCAGTCTGTTCTCGATTGCTAGATTCACCGCAAATCGAGTTTACTGAGTTGCCTAAAACGTGGCTTAAGGTAAATCATTATTATATCTGTTTATTACCCTTCCACACGCATTAATACAATTCTCTTGGGGGTGATAAGGAAGACATTTGCGCAATAACAACAAATTCAATATCAATAACTCGTCGAAGTGCTGGCCTTCCATTATGTATCTTGGCAATAGTTAGTAGTGAACCATGTACTCAAAAAGCACTACTTCCTTGGGCCATGAAAGTTTTACTAAACATCGGTTCCCAAAAAGCTTCAACCGATGGCGACATTGATCAACAAACTGTTGATTTACCTCAAGTTCATGCTTTTAATATTTTAAGAACGATATTTATGGATGCGAAATTAGGTGCAGACGTTTTACCTTATGTTTCTGACGGATTTATGTTGGCCATTAATGGGTTTTGTTCATCTAGGTATTTTTTCCAGTATTTAATACTAGTTTGACTATTCATAAAGTACTGATTTTAATATTTATTGTTTCTTTAATATAAAAGTTGGGCCATTCGAAATTGCTCAGTAATGCTATTTTCTACGCTTTTGCAAAGGACTTTTGGAACAAAGAAAACAAAAGATGAACATCATTCTATTAACAAATTAACTAGTCGCGAGTTTTTTTCAAGATTTCCAAAATTACATCCGTTTTTAGTGGATGAACTTACAATTGCGGTTGATCAGCTTATAAAACCAACACAAGTAAGATATTGAATGAAGATTCGTAGATTGGTTTTTCATTGACATTATGATTAAATATATATATTACATTTATACTTGCTAGTATAATAAAATAGAAGTGCATCCTGGACTTTATCCAATTCTTACAATGTTATCTCGATTACATCCATCGTTAATGGAAAGCTCAGTATTGAATATGAATCCTTTTGTGACACTTGTGAAGTCTTGCTGTTCTTCGCCAATATATAAAGTATAAAATTAAAATTTATTTATATTAACTATTTTATAATTTGATTCAGATTGAGTATGCTTCAGATTTATTTAAAGATTCACTTAAGCATTTATATTTTATAGGTACGAGAAATGTCTGCAAGATCACTTATTCCATTAATCGCGTCACAAGATTTAATCCTTACTTGTGCCGGATTATTTAATGCATGTGAAATAAGTAATCAAAATGAATTACACGGGCGATTAGTTCAAATACAATATTTAATGCGTGGACATCTTAGTAGGAATCTTACTGGATTTGATTTGACAAAGGGTTCGCTTTATTATATAATATTTAGATTTTGCTATATTGTTGAATTAATAATTTTTTTTTTTTTTTTTTAAGAATTTATAAATAAAATGGAATTAATGATAATGCCAAAGATTCCTGTAATTTGTTATCAAAATCCTTGTGAAATTACGAAATCCTTATTTTTGGAAATAATGAATGAATTTATATTTGATTCTAAATGGATACTTAACGAACAGGACAAGCGGAAGCGATCCGGTATGTAAAACCAGACCTTATACTAATATATTTAATTTAAGCATAAATAAGTTGAATATTAATATTATTGATAAATTTGAAGAATTATTAACTTTGATGGAAGAAAAGTTTGCAAAAATGAGACAAACCATATTTGATCTATCTTTATTCAATCTTTTTGACAAATCCAACGCTACTCTGAAAATTGGAAACTTTCTAACCCGACAACAAATGGCAAAAGTGGTTATTAAATCACTGTTGAGTCAAGATACAATTGAAAAGAATGAGATTATAGTAAAAATTTTGAGTGACGAAGAATATGAAATTAGACTTATTGCTCTGGAAACGCTTTTTGAATATTTTCTTGAAATGGGCATTACACATATTGATACAAGGTACTTCCAGTTGATAAAGTTTTAACAAAGTGACAATTTACAATCCTTACAAATACACTTGTTCTCGCATAATGTTTTCTAATTGACATAATTCTTTAATTTATTTCCATATTTAATATTTGTTACTGCACTCTAATAGTAGCATCATATCAGTAATTCAGTCAAAATTAATCATGATGATATACCATGGAGAACAATATCCTAAGTGTTTCCAGCTCGTAATAGAATTACTTGTATTAATCAACTCGGATTATCCACTTCCAAAATCCAATTTAATATCATCACAACAATCTTCTTCTAAGTTCGAATTGGAAGAATTTTGGAAAAAATTGTTCTGGTATATGGAAGAATCCAAGAGCTCATCCATAATTGAAGCTACAATACCGCTCTTAGGAACTTTGACGGCTGAAGTAAATGTCCTCTTGCACAATGATAAATTGTAACTTAATGTTCGAGATGATTTTAAATAGATTTTGCTTAACTGAAATTCTATTCATACTAGATATGGGACAAAACATCATTATCACATGAATTCAGGTCCTTGAGTTTGAAAAAATGGGCTGAATATATAAACAAAAATACTAAACCTGAAATTGTAAAGTATTTTCATAAATTATTTTTATATACCTTAAATAATGCTGAAATTACATTTAATATCTCTATCCCGATAGACTTTGACATTGCGTGAGGCGGCTACAAAATCCATACAATTATTTAGTAGACTTCTATTTAAAAAAGAAACTGTATTCACTAATAATGACGATATGCAATATTTTATATCTTTATATGTTGTTCTCATTCGGCTTACTCAGGTAACTTTAAATCAATATATGAATTATTTTCATTTGAAATATTTATTATTTTTTCCTTACAAAAAAGGATGATGACATTGATTTACGTCGGACTGCTGCGTTAATTGTATCTGAAGCTATGGGTTTGGAGGTTCGAACTCATTCTATTGAATCATTAATGTTTAAATTTTAAAATAGATAGGAAAATTAATACCTCCCGCTTTTTTAAAAGGATCCAGTTGGTTGTGATAGGGCGCAAGAATTTTGTTATGAGTATATGACCAACCAATATTCTGGATCACTTCATTTATGCGTAGCGTTATTACAAATATTGGCAGGTGATGTTAAGCCAGGTATATAAATTTTTAATACACAATATTCCACTTTCTTAAAGAACAAAATGTTGACTTCAATATTTTTATAAAATTATTTGTTATTCGAAAAGATGAGATATTAAAGTCAGAGATGGCACCATCTAGAGTTCTGTTTGCTATAGAGAATCCAAATATATATAAGGAAGATTTGGTTGATATTCAATTAGCTTATAAGTATCTACGAACGGTCATAAAAAAGGAAAGAAATAAATTAGAATTTCCTGACATGTTTAGGAAGGATATTCCAAGGTTTTGTGTCCAACAATTAGGTATAGTATGCGAGTTTGTAAGTACGCGTGAAGTACAGGTATTTAGATTTTGTTTATTTGTATTTAAGTATTTTTTGAAATACAATAATTGCTTATCTATTTGCTGTCCACTAAGACCAATAAGAATGGGCCGCTTGGCTTTACTTCACTTCCCAATGTGTTTACTGTTATGTATAGAGTAATAATAACAGTTTTGGCGATGATTGAACTTGTATCAGACACAGAAAACATTCTGAAAGGTAAATAATGAATAATGACTTTAACTATATTTAACAATATATTTAAGCTTATATCAATTTTTATAACTTTTATATAAGATATCCAAATAATAATTGATAAATTAATTCAAGATAAAATACAATTACATCCATTACTTAATGACTTATTATTTGGGGAATTGAGTCAAAAATGCTTTAACACTATTACGAAAGGGAAAGATAAAGATGACAATGAGTTTATGATGTTTGTAAAAGAGTTTGAGAAGTTGTTTTTATTGACTACTCAGTGAAGAAAATATATAAAATAAAATGGATTGGGCTATTGAATAGATGACTATGTAACAAATTTAAATTTTATTCGTAAAATCTACATAATCCCGGTGGATCATTTTCCTAGCAAAGACCCTATATAATAACCTACTATAACCTACTATAATTTGCTATGCATAAAAGTCTGTTATGTCCAATGTATTTTAAATTCTAATGCATATCCTGCATTGAACCATGCCCGACGAATTAAATAAGGATAAAGGCAAAAATGGTCCTGTTTTTTTGTGTTACGGTTTTATCGACCAATTTGCAATGATATTGATCAAAATTATCGTTATTTTTTTATTTGACAAAAAAAAAAGGAAAATATATAGATATATTGGTAGTGCTCCCAGTGAGGATTGAACTCACGACCTTGGCGTTATTAGCACCACGCTCTAACCAGCTGAGCTATGGGAGCTGAATTGAAATTATCGGCATTTTATAATAATTGAAAATTAAAATTTTAACAATTAGTCGAATTTAGAAAAAATGCGGTATTGCTAACCCGAATCATTCTTTTTTCATGATTACTACAACGTGTGATGGACATTCGTTTTGATTGGCTAATAATATAAGCTACCAACCTTTTACGGAACTGTTGTGCATACTGTATAATTATTACAACACTCTCCGAAGTATGTCTGTTACACATGTTATCGCTATATTGTGGATCATTACTCCCTCAATTTCTAATCTTTGTCGAAAATAGAGAAAAGAATAGCAACAGAAAAAAACCTACCATAGCTCTTATATGAGTGTTGTCAAATAAAAACCAGTAATTCCGATAACTTTATAGAGAATTTAAACTCAAGTTACTATACTCAACAAACAAACAATATCTACTAACGATTATCCAGATAATAATTTTTTTTAAACCTTAAAAAGTAAAATAAACCGATGCTTTAATAAAGAATTGAATTCTCTATTTTTTGACTAGTACCATGTGATATTGCTATTTAATAGAGCCATTCTTTTTTACTCTTATTATTATTATCACATCCGCATTACTAAACCCGAGTGATCAGCCAACTACATTACTACGTAGTCACTAACGATCGAATAAATACTAATTCAAATGTATTACATATTAGGGTTAAGGGTAGAGTGTAATCTACGTATAATAAAAAAATTTATAGTAATTTATGCAAAAAAATTATACGATATATAAAAATAATTTTTAACAAAGTAAACTAATTTATATATATATTAAGTAAAGTTATTCGCAATAACAAATTACATATGTCCTAAAAAATTTTTATTAAAATCGGTTAAGATTAGCAAAAGTTTTATATTAAAAACATTCGCTAATAAAATACTGATATATATATATAATATAGAACTTCACCAGTAACTTTTTGAGTTTCACCGGTAAAATTTTCTAATATAAAAACTTTTGCTATTTAACCAATTTTAATAAAAATTTTAGAACATATGGGTTGAGTCAATAGAAATCAAGCAAATATTTTTTAATGTTTTTTTAAAACTTTAAACAAGGATAACTTAGCAAAAACTTAATCAAATTTAACAGTCACAGGACATGTCTCCTTGAAATAGGTTAAAAATAAGTTTATAATAAAAATTTAAACAAAAACATATGAATTT